TGGAAAAAATAAACTGTGTCAGTGCAAACAATAGAAAACTTCTTAGGCAAACTTTCAAATTGCATGAGAGAAATCAGAGCTGATACTGCCCATTCTGTGCCATGCTTTGCTGCATTAAATTCCTGAGTGTGACTCAGAGATTTAAGATTTTCACGGTAGGTGGTGAGCAGTGTAGATTAAACTTGCTTCCTCTGTTGTTGTGCCCCTGATAGCTGCCTGTTCCTTCAAGAAACCAGTTCACATCATTTCAGTGAACAGCTGCACGGGGCCGTGCTGCATCTGAAGAGCTGTGCTGTAAATACTTCTTGTAGTATTTCTCTTTGCAATGGTTTCTCACTGCTCTGTCAGACAGAGCAGTGTAAGACAACCTTCCATTGCCTTTTGGAAATAGAAACCAAGCCAGGCAGGAATGGGGCATAATGGAAAGGTGTTTTTACTGGTTTGGTTTGGTGGGTTTTCTGTTTTCTTTTGTTCTGATGGGATAAGCTGTGGCTCATGCTCTTCAGCCAGCATGTTGCACCTCAAAAATCCCCAAAGACCCCATGAAATGAGTATCATGAATACCTTTCAGGACCACTCCTCCCCTGGTGGGCTTTAAGCCAGCAGCTGTTCAATTCAATATTTTTTCTTGATAGGAGGACATTGAGAAAACCATATCTAGTCAAAATGGCAGAAGGATTATTCAGACAAAATGTAATTACAAAATGTAGGAAGTCAACCGTAAAACCATCATTGGTGGTTGGACTCAGGGATCTAAAAGTATTTTCGAGCCGAAATGCTTCTGTTATTCTAAGATGTTCCATCATGCTCACAAGTGATGGTTTTCTCTCCCAGCCACTGTATTATTTACAGTGAAGTGAAAGCAGTGCTTTGCCTTTGGTGTCTCAGGTGGAATTTGAGGTGCTCTGGAGACACACTCAGCTCCTCTGCAGCTGAACTTGTGTGCAGTGGCTCTGGATGAAGCAGTGAAACACTAAACAGCCACCAGCAGAGAACCAACCAAAATCTGTGAGCTTCTTGTAAATGATGCTGCTTACAGAAGAACAAACACAAAAGATGCCAACTTAGTAAAATAAGTTAAACCCAACCTATTTAGAAGAGTCTAGGTTCCTCTTTAAAATATGAAATAGGCACCAAGAAGTCTGTTGCATTAATTCACTTTAATTCACTTAAGTTAAAACTTATTTCTACAGTGTCACTGAGAGGTGTTTTAAAATGCTATTCCCATATTTTGTGCATGCAGTGCAGGAATATATATGTATAAAAAATGTATATATAAAGAGGTAAATCTGAACAAAATTCCTGGTTGCAGTTGTCAGTCACACCAAGTTTATAAGTAATAACAGTACAAACCTACCCACCCAGGGCTTAGAATTCATTCTGCAGTCAGTGGAGTACACAGAATTTACATACCAAACAACAACATGGATTATGTATTTTGTTATATTCTGTTGAAAGCAATTCAAAATGCAGGCATCTAAATAATACAGATAATTCATCATTTTACTGATGACTCTAGAAATAGAAAATATTTTTTCTTGGTTGAAAGCATCAATAAAGCTTTGAAAGAAGAAGAGCAGATGTCAAATATAAAGCCCTTGTTTTACTGAGCAGTGAGCATGATAAACATTGATTATTCATCTTGATGCTAAAGTTCAAAAACAATTGTCCCTTCAGTTTGCCTCATGGGAGTGTGAAATTAGGACCATGTGTGTGTTGATGAACAACATGTGAAAGATGAATCATGATTACTGTTTTGGTCTGCTGCACAAGGCTGTGCTTGAGGGGTAGTGATTTCCTACCTTCTCCACCAGATTGCTGTAATTAGTGCTAGCATCTCTCTCTGTTTCCCTGTATTTATGTTCAAGTGGCTGCCTGACAGTACCTAGCCACACACATGAATTGGCTTTTTTGAATGAAAGAGTGTTTGCTCAACAGAAGAATGTTGGAGTATATTTCAATATTGTTTGTAATAAAGATTAGTTATAGAACTATTCTGAAATCACCCATCCGTTTCTATCACCAATGCTATCTCTGGCAGGAATTGCCAGATATGAAAAATAGATGTTTCTTTCAAATATGAAACACTATATGTTCTAGGTTAAAAAGAGGAGGGGAAAGTTCAATAAAATCAAACAGAGTTTTCATTTCATTTCATTCAACTGTATTTAATTTATGCCTCTGGCGGCAGACATGAGTTAAATTTAACTTCTCTTGGAGGCACAATTAGTTCCTGTGGTTACAAATTTCATTTCAGCTTTATTTCTGAATATGTAATCCTAACTTTGTTTCTCTCTGGCCTAGTAATATGGGTGAAAGAGTTGTCATAAGTGCATTTCATTACTGAGCTGTTACTATAAATGAGGGTTGGGTATTAGAAAAATATAAACAAGCAAGAATAGAGGTTAAGACTTCATACAATAGTCTTTGTCTTTTATTAATACTTGTGCTCTTTCATGTTGAAAGGTGGATGTTTAAATAAAAAGAAATGCCTGTACATGCCTTGAACACCCAAATGAGCTATTCATTCTTCAGGAGATGATGTGTATTGCTCTCATTTCGTTCTCTGCTGCCTTGGGATATCTGGGGATCTTAATTATTCAGGCTGTTTATACAGATTGAGGAACAAATCCAACATTGATCTCTGTGATTTGAGGTGTGTGATGGAAATTCTTCCTGGCTTGCTTGGCCAGTATAGATACAGGATCTGGATTTTAGCTTATCATGTTTTCTGTAGAGTTCTGTGCTTTGAGCTCTCGTAATGTGAGATTTCATGTGGCTAATGCCTCCTCTGCTCCCCCAGCTTTTTGACAAATAAGGTTATTTGTAATTTAATATGTGTTCATTTCAACTTTGATTATCTGTTCAAAGATCAGTGGTCTAGAATTCTTCAGAAAAGATGTTTTGGCTGTTTTCTTTCCTATGTATTTCTTCTCAGTCCACATGTATAGAGGTATGTAGACCACAGTGATTTTGTAGGAAAAGCTCCAGGACACAAAGACTTGTTTTCTAGTAAAGTTCAGAATAAATTAAATTAAACAAATGGAAATTAAACAAATGTTCTTAGTTAATTAATGATAGAATCACAGAATGGTTTGGGTTGGAAGGAACCTTCAAGATTCTCTAACTGCAACCCCCCTTCCATGGCAGGGGCAATTAGCTGAGAATTCAGAGCCCTGAGGCCATAACATTAGTATTTATAGTTTTGAAGTAAGATGCTCTAAACAAGTTCTCCTAGCTATAAGCCACCTAAATAGCACAATTACTTTAATTCAAAACCAAGGGAATGCTTCCTGGAAGAATATATTTTTAAACTCACAGCAGTAAGTCCTTGAGGGGTGAATGCTGCAGTTGAGCATGATGAAATTATCTGAGTAGCTTACATGTTTTAACTTCTAACTAAAATAACAATTATTTAATTCAATACTTTGGGGTGACCCTAATTCTCTCACTAATTGCTGCAGCCTTTTGTACCTTTTCTACACTTGAGGGTAAATTTTTGCCACTAGTGAGTCTTATGTGCTGCATAAATTCAGCAGAATTTGGCTTCTGTTATGTCTGTCTGCATCTAAATTATCAATGCTTGTGGTATATTTCTTTATGTTTATACTGTTACATATTTTGTTATGTCACCACAATCCCAGTAGAAATTCAATTAAAGGAGAAGTGTTGCCTCTTTATTTTAATATAGCATATAAAAATCTTATCTAATGAATAAAAATATATGTGCTAATTTTCTGTGGAGTTTAGTAGAATTCATGTCTCCCAAAACTTCAGCTCTAGGACAAAAAGAAGACAAGTAACAATTGATTTGATGGTTTATCTCCCTTTATAAAAAGTCAGTAGTTACTTTTTTGTGATTTTTTTTAATCAAATAAATAATGTCTTTGTTTTGCTGTAAGTTAAATGACATTTAATAAAGATTAGAGAAACAGAAAGTGAGTCAGACTAGAACAGGTATTAATAGAGAAGTTACAACTGAAAAGAAAGACTCCTTCCTGTTTCAGGAAGCTTTTTTGTATAACAGCTGGTTCAATGCCAAACTAAATCAAACTTAAACAATTAAAAGCTACCTAAGAAGAAAGTGAGATTACAAATTTAACTTGTAACAGTACTATCAAAGTTTGAATTGCTTTCATCCTTTAGGAAGTGTTTTAAGTTTTTTTTAACTTGACAACTCCTACCTTGTTTTTCTTTGTACATGCCTGGGTCTGACTGTGGAGAGGCACCCAGGGAGTGCTCAGACATGATCCTGACAACATCTAATTCCTGCTGCTGGCCTTTTCTACTGATGACTTTTGCTGTTTGCTTTGTAGCAGTGAACCCAGATACAATTCTATGTAAATGGGTGGTATTTTTTTAAAGCTAATGGTAAATATTATGTGTTTTGCCTTTCAGGGAATGATATTGTATCATAAGAATCAATATTCCAATTTTCAGCTTGGTGTCTTGTGAGGGTGATGCTGCATTTTGTGTTTCAAAACCAATTTCAGTGCTTTCTGAAGGGGAAGGTATTTCATGTTGGAGGGCCAAAGTTCTTTTCTCTAGGTAGAGAAGAGACAGCAGACTCATCAAGGGTTTCTCCCTGGCAGAGCAGTTCTCTGGCTGGTCTTCAGCTTGCTTTGACAGTATTTGATACAAGAAAAGTGTCTGAGGTAGCATGATGGGTTTCTGCAGTGTCACTCTCTTGGATCTTCTGATGCTCTTTTTCATGGCTGTGAGTGGAAAACAGCTCTTTGGCCTCTCTCCTCTCCTCCCCCACCCTGTTTCCCCCACAGAACCCAGTCTGGTTTGTCATTAAACCTTGATTAAAGGTTTGTTTTTTGTACATACACAATTCACCTAGATGGTGGAAGTTGAGAATATCACATCATTTTCTCCCAAAAATAAGCTTCTGTGATTCCCATTTACTGGACAGATCATACTACGCCAGCCACAATTTCATGTCTTCATGCAAATACTAAATTCAGACTTTCCATGTCTTTGTTTTTCCTCTACAGGGGCTGTCATCAGTCACAAAGAACAATGGACTACTCAACATCACCTTTAAATATGACAGTAAGTTGAAAATCTGCACTATATTCACAGAAATCAAGGACTCCATCAGAGTTGTCAATATATACTAACATGTCTCTTAAAATGGCTCTAAGAATGGCATACGGAAAATAATGCCAAAATATTGACATAATTTTAAAATCTAGAAAATTTGTGTCTGCTGGGTCTGGTAGATGTTCTCCTGTGTCTCACTGATAATGAAACTACCTAAAAATCTGTAGAAGTTTCTGTTTCAGGTTGGCCTACATAATTTGCCTGGTATTTGACTGGAACATTATAGAAAATTATTTTATTCTGTGAAAAATATAGTCAGTGAAAGGTTCAGTACACACAAGGACATAGGAAAGGATTATTTTGAGCTTTATGCAGCTTTTCTCTGATGTGTAATTTTGGGTGAAAATGGCATAATGTGTGTCTTGAGGTAGAAAATGTGTTCGTTTGTATTTGTAGACAGGTAATATATTAAAAAAAAATTGTCTTTGCAAGGATTAATATTGAGTATGAATATTGAATAGCTTCTTTTTATTTGGTTGAATCAGTGGGAACCTTTCATTAGCTACAGTCTTCAAGGCCCAGGCCAATGCAAGACTGCTCTGTACATTTGCAGTGCACACAGGTGGTTTAGAGCTGTAGCAGCTGTGGTGGGGTTTGCAGCTGAACTGAGAATAAAGTAATCTCTGGCATGGTAACAGTGATAAACAGGTTGAGCAGCAATACTTCAGACCTCTTCAAACATCTGCTAAATGGCTGTATCTTATTGTTGGGGGTTGCTTTACATGTTTTATCATCTTTGCTGTCTAGTTGTCAAAGCAGGACTGCTAACTACATTAAAAATTGATCCTTATGTGGGCAGCTAGTGGCCATCATGTATAAACTCAATGTACAGTCAAGACAAGGTCTTAATTTACATTAAAACAGTGTTTGTTTTAATGCCAGTGCAAGTCATAGGTGTTTTTTTCCTGCCTACCCAAAGAAATTACCTCAGATGCGGAATGTAGATAAAGTTTCATCATTGAGAGCATCCATCAGGAAACCTAACAATAGTGATTTGTTTCATTCTGATCATCCTTTTGCTCCTCTATTTTTATGTTAATTCCTGAGTTTGCAATCCTTCACTGTGAATTTTTTAAATTTAATTTGATCTTAATACTTAAAAAGAGCAAATTTAAGTGTGTCAGATTGTACAAGATGTAGGTGGTCACTGCAGAAGAAGTATGTTTGGTTTTTTTTAATCTACATAACACAAACTAGGAAATGGTACCAGTCAGAACAGGGATCCCCACATTTAGTTAACACAATGAGTCTGTTTAAATCCCAGTATGTGTCATGTTTTTTCCATTAATTCTGGCACTAGAAACTGTGTTTAACCAATGGGAAGTATTAATTCTCAGTTCTGCTGGCACTGTGTGCATCCTGGACAAAGGAGTTATTTGAATTCTGCAGGACTAGGAAAAGAGTTTGCTGATATGAAGACTAAAGAGCTCACATGGTATGGAAATATGTATTTACCTTTAATAAGCCAGCACAAAAGAAAATTTGGCTTGCTGGCTGTGGTTTAAAGGGTCTTATTTTGCTGCTGAGCAAAATAAGAAACTGTGTTTTATGATGCTAAATTACTTGGTTAGATTATTTATTCAGGTGAAAAAGAAATGTCTGTATTTTTAGTATGTCACTTGTATTCAAGGAAAAGAAGTAGTTTCCTAAAAAGTGTGTTTTTTCCATGCTGTTTTCTTCCTAAAACTGTTGTTCTTTATAACTGTGAATCAGTTAACTTGCAGTAAAACTTCAGGCATTTGTGCTATATTCCATTTTGGCAAATTGTCATTTGACCATAAAATTCTGGTAACCAGGATCCAAAAACTTGGGCTTGCTATTAATTAGATCCAGACCTAGCAAAAACCAGTTACTTCAAACTTTCCATTGAAAGAGATCCTCTATCCTCCTCAGAGGAAGTTCATGCTGTCACTGAGTTCACTCATAGCAACTGAGCTCTACAAACAGTGCAGTCAGCACCAAACCCAGCTTTGGTAAAGGGCAGTGTTGTAGAGTGTTCTAATGTCTGTGAAAGTTAGAGAAAAGACCCCTTGCCATGGTCATTCACAGTAAAAACCCATTTTCTAAGTCTCCTTTACAGCTAATATTTTTTCTTTCCTTGCCTTTAAGATCACACCTCTGAATTAAATTCAAATTTCCTGTACTGGCGTATCATAGCACTTGATTTTTCATGTTTCTTTTCTACAAGCTCTCTGCACATGAACATATAGCATATAAATTATCTCTTTTTTTTTTTTAATTAATCATCAGTCAGTAATATACAATCTACTGATCCATTTCTTCTGAATTTTGTTAGTTTCACTAGTTCAGAAACAGAATGTTTGTTTATGCACACCCATCTTCATGTATACTGGTGAATTCCCTGCCTGCAATACTTCTCTTCCTGCCACAAAATATGAGCCTAAATATTGTAAAGCTTTAAAAGTAACAAAATCTGGGGTTGTTTTCTTCTTTTAAAAAAAACAAATTCAACAACAAACTCAGGAGTCTTTTGTTTATATTTTGTTTTCTTGATTAAAGCTAAAGCTGTGGCACTGTAATTTTAGGGTACACTGTAATTTGTGAGGATAGCAAGACAAAAGCAGTCCTGAGTGAAGCCAGCGGCAGTTAAGTGGTCTGTAGGGATGTGGCTGCAGGATGGAAGGCAGAGAGGAGATGGGTTTAAGCAGCAGGTTCTTTGTGGTCAGGATCAAGCAGTATCATGGTTAAAAGCACTTCTTGAGCAGTTCTCAAGCTTCACATGGTTTATTGTTCTCATATGGGCCTGATCATTGACCAGCATTCTCTTGCTTGGAGCACTGTACATGAACAAAATTAATGTCAGTCTTCATATTGTTTTGAACAGCTACAGGGAGAAGTTGTTCTCTTTTGGGAGTCCCAGTACACATGATGGGGGGACAGGTTACACTGGTGATATGAACTGGTAATATCCTTGGCAGTCCTGTGAACTGTGGGTTGGCAACCAGTGAAAGGGTTGTGCTCAATGATTTGTGAACTTTTGTGGGCTTTTGGGTCTTGAGACAAAATCATCTAGATTTGCTGTGTAGTCCTTATAGAAAATACTTCACTGGTACTTTTACTTTGTTCAGTCTTGAAGACATGTTAGGGAATCTATGTCAGCTAGAATGTTTTTCTTAAAGTGTTTATTTGTCCATATTTTTAGACTGCACTCCTTACCTGAGTTCAGTGGGAAGACATGTGATTGGAGATGTGCAGAACATCACTATCAGTCAGTTTGCATGCCAGGAACAGGTGGCTGTGATGATCCTTTGGACAGCAAATGCCATTGGTAAGTTATAGCAGGAAATGGACTCATTGATCATGGGTTTGGTAATAACTTTGTGCTCATAGGTATTAAGTCAAATAATTAAATTATGCTTGGAATCATTGCATACTGCCTACAAAGAAAGGAATTCTTAACACCTTTGCAAAGCCTGCTATCTTTCTGGCTTGCTTCAAGAACATTCTTAAAACTAGGATGTTCTCTGCAGTCATACATTGCTTTTTAATGTCCCAGTTTAGTGAATTCCTACTCTTCAGAACTGTGCAACTGTCCCTGGTTTCATTTTCTGCCCTAAGGCTTTGGTGCATTTCAGTGGCATTGATTGAGTTTAGTTCCTGATACACTTAAGGGTGCTTTAAGATGCAGATTGTCTTACAGGTGGAAAACATTACCTAATCACAGCTATACAGACTTCAATGTGTTTCCTTGCCAGGCCTGGTGATTAAGAGTATTCCGCAATTACTCCACTGGAAGTACCTTGTTGCCCACTAGAGCAGTGGTGTCCCAAACTGAGGATGTGCAGAAATCCTTTTTCACTGAGAAACTTATTTCTGGGCTTTAAAAGAATATGTGAAAATTCCACTGAATTCTGCAGAACTGTGCAGTTGAAGGCATTTGGTAATGCTCAGCTGCAGACTGGATGAATCAAACATCCATGGGAAACAAAGCCTGGTGTTCTTCCTTGTGATCACCAGAGATAAATCCTTTGGACAGGTTGAGGACAGAACTGCTGTTCAGGCATCTTGGGTAACATGGGAACTGGGCACTTTCAGGATCTTTGTGTAAGGACAAATACTGCTTTTGTTCCCTGAATGCTAAGAACACGTTTGGCAATGCTTTATCTTCTACAAAATTATAAAACATTAATCAAAACACACAAACCCATGAAAACTAGTGAACCAGAGGAGGTGGTGGAAAATGATACATTTGGGATTTTATTTTTTGGGTTGACAAGCATAGCATAAACTGAAATGAGTCCATTTTGATTTATGTAACATTTAGCTTACAAAAGCTGTGTTTTTGTCATTGATCAATATGTGTAATGCTGTTGAAGGGATGCAGTTAGATCGAGTAGGGAGAGATAAAGAGCAGTGCAGTGCCTTTGATACCTGAGCCACACAACTGTCACAGCGTAACACTGGCATTTTCCTGGGATATTCACATCACTGTGACTCAGTTTAGTCATATCATGAAGTAATTCTGTGATGAGAACATTGTGAAGACACTGTGCTAAGTTGTAGTAAGAGTAACTTGAACAAAATGGGTGTAGTTCTGGCAGCAGTTATGAATAACTGGAAGTATACATGCACTGGAATAAATTCCATTCCATTTAAGTAAAGTTTTCTGTTAGCCCTTGCTGTAGTAGAGCTAAAGAAGTTGTAACAATTGTTACCATTTTAATCTGGTAGTGTCAGAGATTATGGTATAATTTATAAAATACTATTTCTATAATTTGCCAGCAAAATGTTATATTTGCTTGTTAAAATGGAAATGTGAAGTTACGATGAAGTATTTTTGAAGGTGAAGAAGGTACTGATAATTTACATTGCAGTGGTAATTTGGAAGCCCCTGATGAGACATGGGCCCCTCTGTTCCAAACTTTACACAACTATGCAGCAATTGTAGCCCTTACCAAAGACTGAATTCTAGATAGGCAAGATGGAATATGCAGAACTGACATACAGCAACAGGTATTAAATACAAGTATTTCGTATTACTGATAAGTTTTATTCTTAAAGACAAATGAAATATATTCAAATTACATAAAATACCACACTGTGCATTTTGAAATATTAATCTCCTGTTTAAATGCCCTGCTGTTTGTAGGGATTGAGTACCTGAAGGGATTTCGAGTAATACTTGAGGAGTTGAAATCAGAGGGAAGACAATGCCAGCAGATGGTTTTAAAAGATCCAAAGCAGCTCAGCCCCAGTTTTAAACGAACAGTAAGTGCTTTGTTTCAAGAAAAGTTTCAGTGTTGTTTGACTGTGGGTAGTCTTGAAGCTGTTTATCATGCTAAAATGGTTTGAGTCATTAAAGGTCATCCAGTTCCAGCCCCCTGCCATGGGCAGGGACACCTCCCACTGTCCCAGGTTGCTCCAAGCCCCATCCAGCCTGGCCTGGAGCACTTGGAGGGATGGGGCATTCACAGCTTCTCTGGGCAACCTGTGCCAGGGCCTCACTTGCTTCACACTGAGGAATTTCTTCCCAATATCTAATCTAACCCTTCCCTCTTTCAGTTTGAAGCCATTCCCTCTTGTCCTATTGCTCCATGCCCTTGTAAAAGAGTTGGTTGGTTCCCAAAAGTATTATTGGTGAAATTAATGACATTTGTTGTTTTAGAGACAGATCTTTTCCCTTTTGATAGAAACTTTCCTGAAGTTGGAAACTATCATTTTGGTGACTAGAGTACAAATGCACATCTGTAATAGTCTACATCCAGCTAAGGGTTGTGATTCCTCATGTCAGTTTGGAATAGAGGGGTATAGAAAGGCTTCTTAATATATTAATTTCAGCCTTTGATTACAAAATTGTGGGCTTGTTTTGAAAAATACTTTCAGCTATGATTGTTGATTTTAAACTATGTTCCAATCTTGTCTTTTTTGTAGGGAATGGAATCCCAGCCCTTTGTAAACTTGAAGTTTGAAACAGATTACTTTGTAAAGATTGTTCCTTTTCCTTCCATTAAAAATGAAAGTAATTATCACCCATTTTTCTTCCGAACTAGATGTAAGTATTGCATGTGATATGGTGTTGCATGTACTGTAGTACTGCATTTTGTGTAGTATTGCCTGTCATCTCTTCAGTGGGCCTCTCTCCCCTCAATGTTTTGGTTTTCCCAGGAAAGGATTGTAGTGGGTGATGGTGTTGGTTGAGTCTGGGTTAAGTAGTTACTTACACTGTTGTGGAAGGAAGATCTGGGTGTTAAGCAGAAAGAATTTGCATGCCATAGATAAATCTGTGGTGTGTGGTCATAAGTGTTAGGCAGCAACCAGAAGAAAGTCTCAGGTAGGCCTGAGATTATCTCAGGTTTGCCTGGAGAAGGATCATTCCTGTGGTTCTCAGTTAACTCTTGAAGATGGTTTGCTCCTCTCTGGACATTGTGAAGAAGGGCAGGTTGTTTTTTGCCTTTGAGATTACAATTTAAGAACAGTTATCTAAAGACACATATAGAGGAGTACATCTACAATTAGATAGCAGCACATCAAGTTGAATTTCTGCAATTACTTAGCAATTCTCATTGGAGGTGGAGACAAGAAATCTGAATAAGCTCCTCAGTGCTCACACAGTATGGTGAGAAACTGCAAGTGCCCTTTAAGGTGAGCTGTTGATATTTGTCCTGCTAAGAGCTTTTTTCCCTATAAAATTTGCTTAAGGTATTTTCAAGTCTGCCTGTTAACACAGACTGCTGTACCATTGGAGTAGTGCTCAGCATACTTACTTATTCTGAGTAAATATATTTAAGACTAGTTTTAACTTCCTCTCCTGAAGTGCTGTGCCTGGTGTTATCCCTTTTGTCTCACTAAGAAATGTGATATTCAAATTAATGGATCTCTGTTTCTCATATAAAGATGAGAAGTGACTTGAAATCATAACAAAGGAGTTAAGTTTGCAAAATGCATTTAGTCCAGGCATATTAGAGTCTGAGAAAGAAGTGAAGGTATTAAAAATTATGAAGTCCCTACTTTGGCCCTTGTTCTTTTTCTGCCTAAATAGCATAGCAGTTTGATACTGTATAATTAATATTTTTTCTCTGTATTTGTAGCATGTGAGTTGTTGCTACAGCCAGAAAACCTTGTCTGCAAACCTTGTAAGTAAAATGCAATATTTCTATATATTAATCTTAGAAAAAGTTTGTGTACTTGGAGAGTCATTTTGCAATTCATGAATATCTTCTCTGACAGACTGGAAGCCAAGGAATGTGAATGTTACCCAGCAAGGTTTTAACATGCAAGTGTCCTTTGATCATGCACCTCACAACTTTGGGTTTAGGTACTACTTTCTTCACTACAAACTGAAGCATGAAGGACTGTTTAAGCAAAAGACCTGCAGACAGGTACGTGGCTGAGTTTTGCAGCTCTTAAAAGCACAAAACCTATTAACATGAGGTGTTCAAAGGTCTTACAGAAACTTTAAAAACTTAATATAAAATAGTGTCAGTTTTAAAATTGTAAAGAGAGCTATTTGTGTAAATAACAGCTGTGCTGTGGTAGCACTCATCAGTCAAAGCCAGGCTTGGGGACTCCATTGGACCTGGATAACACAAGTCATTTCTGCAGGCAAACAATTGCATAAGTGAATGTGCAGACTTAGTTCTGCTGGTCTGAGGTGTGTTAATACAAGAGTGCTCTGCCTATTTCTAAATCAATGTGAATTCTTTATTAGGTTTTCAAAGTATGTGAATTGCTTGCAAAGTATTCTTTCTTTATGTAGGAGCAGAACACAGACACCACAAGTTGTGTTCTTCAGAACGTGTCTCCAGGGGATTATATCATTGAGGTAACATTTCTAAACAGTCTTCTGTACAGCACCTAAGTGAATATGTTGATGGGAAAATGGAGTAAAATTAAAATATTTCAAATCACACTGGTGGAATTGAACTCCAAGTATCCCTATTGAAGTAACTTGGGCAAGGAAGTTTTCTAGAATGATGCCTTTTTTGGGCTTAGCTAGAAACAGAGGCCAGACAATCTTAGAGGAAAAAAAAAGCAGAGATATTTAATGAGGAGCCTTCTGGTGTATTAAGGGTGGATGAACCCACCCTAGGGGGCTACATCCAAAATGGATGATGGTCAGGAGATTTTCAGATATAAGTTTGGTCCATTTACATATCAGGGGTTAATCCTGCAATTACAGCTCCAGGTAATGAAGTCAAATTCCCCCAGTTTGCTCCCCCCCAATCCACTTTTGTTTATACTTTTCAGGGCCTGAGGCTGTAGGG